AGCCTAAGATTGATGATGATGTGATCTTTCAATAAGAATACATATGACTTAAATCAAAATTTTGATAATCACCATTCCACCTATCATGATTATTAAAGGCTTAGTAGTGACATATGCTCGATGTCTACACTCAATTGATCAGATTTAGAAGATAACATGATTTGTGATTAACATCTTTAAACACTATAAGCCTACCTTAATTGCGAGCACCATAATCTTAAATGACTCAAACTTGCCGTAGGGGCACCCACTCACATAACTTTAAAACGAAACATCAATTGATTAACTAGGTATCTTATCTTCGAGATAGTTAAATTGTCAAGTTTCACTGGGGTAGTCACACTTTGACCTCGGATGATTAATGGAACAATATGATAAGTTTAAAATAAACTCATATTATTTCAAGAGATCTTCAAAGTGACCCAGGGTCATGTCTCGAGCATGTTGAAATCTATTGGACATTCTGAAGGGCAAATTGAAATTGTAATATTTTTGTTCTAAAATCATCCACTAGGATCTTCTGAGATTCAATAAAGTCATAACTTGGGGTTTGGTAGATAAACCTTCATCTACTCCTGCAATTTAAATTCCTTGGAAATTTATATACATGTCTTGCAAATACTAACCTTTCAGGTGGAGGAGCGAGAAGAATTGACATGTACGTTTTTAAATTACTGCATTTATCTTTTTGTACTTCTTACATCGAGCTTGCATGTTAAACAGTGATGTCACCCTGCATGAAAACCAAAACTGCTAGAATAGCCGTAAAACCAAAACCAAAATTAAAAATCAATCAAGATAAAGTTTATCGCCATAACATTCAAAATATAAGACAACTCAAAATTTAATCACAAACATCCCAAAACTAAAGGAAGAACTATCACTAAAAACATTTTGTTGGCTCAGGAGCTCTTATTAGATTTGGACAAGAAGTGCAAAGGAAGTAATGTTAATTTCAAATTGGATATCAAAAAGGCTTATGACACCATAAAATGGACTTACTACTAGAAACACTTTCTGCTAGGGTTTTTCTGTGGAGTTCATCAACTTAATTAGATGGTGGCTCAATTGCAATAATCATTATGTATTAGTTAATGACAAGAGCTATGGGTTCTTCACTGCTTCTAGGGGAATCAAATAAGGGGACCCCTTGTCCCTTACAATCATTATTCTAGCCATGGATTATTTCTCAAGACTTCTAAACAATATGTTTGCTAGCTCTCCACATTTGGCCTATCAACATAAATCCAATATTTGTATTAGTCACCTGTATTATGCAGATGATATTATTATCTTCTCAAATGTTACAAAGACTACTATAAAGGCTTTATTTCAGGGACTCAAACATTTTCATCATGCTTCATGTATTGAATTAAACAACAAAATTGTCAAGTTTTTGTTAGCACTAATATTACTCTGTAGATCAAACACTAGATTTCCTAGTATACAGGGTTTAGCTTTGCTTCTTTGTCTATCAAGTACTTTGGAGTACAATTACTTAAAGGCAGAACCAAACAAAGTCAATTTAATGAAGTTATTTATCATATCAAAGCCCAACTCCACTGTTGAACAAATTCTTTCCTTTCCAATGGGGGGAGAATCACTCTTCTTAAAAGTATCTTGACTCATATCTCTTCTTATGCCCTCCAAATGTTCACCATGAAGAGATGGACTCAAGTTCTCTTAGGAAGAATTTTTAATAAATTCTTGTGGACTGGACAGAAGAAACAATTCCATTGGCTTTCTTGGCAAAAACTCTGTAAGCCTCTTCATGCTGGAGGTTTGGGTTTTAAGGATTTTCGCTTTAAGTTTTATAAATCTGTGCAAGTTATGGATAAAATTCAGGGCCCAGGACAGTCTTTGGGCTCATTATATGATGGGGGAAGTATTGCAGTTTTGTACACCCAAATCTTGCAATTAAAAAATTGGGTGATTCCAGAATATGGACTAAACTTTTGGAAATCAGACATCAAGTTGGGAATTAGGAGAAGGGAAAATTAATTTCTGGTTAGACAAGTGGGGTTGGAATGGAGAAAAGCTGTTTTTTTCCACCTCAAAGCCCAATTATCAATCTCAGGTAAAAGAGTATTGGTCTGATAACAAAGGAATTGCAGACTGTTGAATACCATCCTCAAGAATGAATAGATTCAACTGGTGAAGAATACTTCCTTCTCTTCTGATCAAAGGGATAGACTCATTACTAAACAATCTTCCTAACGAAAACTCTCAGCATATATTTATCAAAAGTTCTACCTGTGGCAACCTGTGTTGTGGGGGAAAGACCTTTGGGGTAAATGGTTAGCACCTTCAATGTCTTTTTTCTGCTGGAGGCTGTGGTTGTTCTTGCTTCCTACTGATGATATCTTGAAAATAAAAGGTCTGAGGGGACCCTCTTGTTGTTATCTTTGTAATGCTGAAGAAGAGACTTTAGAGCACCTATTTCTTACTTGTGAGTTCTCTTAAAGGATTTGGTTTGGACTGTTAACACAGCTCAAAATTGATACTATTAAAGTATGTTGGCATAAGTTTTTCTTTTCCTGGTGGGACTGGCAAGAAGCTAACCTACTGGTTATTCCCTGTTTAATTGCATGGTTTATTTGGATGAGTAGAAATCAAGCTAAGTATGAGGATCTTAAGCCATTGATAAAGTTTGTGGTTTTCAACTGCACTTCTTATATTCAGAAAATTATTCAACACCAGCAGTTCCCGAACCTTTTTAAGAATTGGATGTCAAGTACTAAAGTTCAAGAAAACTTCAAGCCATCTTTAATTCTATAAACCCGTCCTCCATCAGGTTGGTTGAAAGTTAACACTGATGGCAGCTATACCAGGAAGTCATCAGGTTATGGGGGAATTTTTAGAAACTCACAAGGGAAGTGCATTCTATATTTTTCTTCTCCAACTTGGGCTTATGATGCATTGGAGACTGAGATGATAGCAATCTATTGGGCTATAATTTTTGCTTATCACTGTCAGATCAGTCAATTAATAGTAGAATCTGACTCCATTACTTGTATCAGGATAATGCTGAAAGAAGAAACTCCTCCTTGGTACATTCTCAGGTGGTTAAACAAATTGAAGCACTTTTTAAACAGTGGAAGGGTGAAATTTAACCATATACACCGAGAAGGTAATGGTCCTGCACATTGTTTGGCTTCCATGGGGAGGAACACATAACAGATTACAGTTGAAAATTCTCCTTTTTCTCATTTATCTTTTCTATTACATGGGGATAGTTTGTCCATTCCTCATCTTCATGCTATATATATATATATATATATATATACATACTCCTGTGTTTATAGAGATATATATGTATACCTACATTACCTTTTTTTTTTTTATCTTGTAACAACATAGTTATTTTCAATGCATTGCTACTGATAGCCTTTTGCCAATATATACACTTTGAGTACACCTAGGTAGCCTTTTGCCAATATATATATATATTGGCAAAAGGCTACCTAGGTGTACTCAAAGTGTATATATTGGCAAAAGGCTATCAGTAGCAATGCATTGAAAATAACTATGTTGTTACAAGATAAAAAAAAAAAAGGTAATGTAGGTATACATATATATCTCTATAAACACAGGAGTATGTATATATATATATATATATATATATAATGATTTAATTGAACATTTCTTCAAACATGCAACACATTCAGATCTCTCTCCTCATGTTCTTAAAGACTTCTCCTCCAAGGAAATTGATTTATGTATTCGAAGTAACAATCTTTGAGACTGTTAACTAATGAGCTCCATGAACAATGCCGCATTAGGATGCAGGCCAGCTTCTCCTAGCGTCATGTCCAACTGCTCATGGCCATAAACCTTTCTTGGGAAGTTCCATATTAGCTGGTAGCTTCCAACACCGGGTATATCCAAAGAATCTATATATTTGTATATGGATCGAATTGTGTCTGTGCTTAGGAACTTCTGTTCCTTCTTTGTTCCATTGGGAAATCTAATCAGTATCTGCAATGTAGTTTACTTTGTTCAGAAATTGGAACCATTATTAGTTTTAAAAAATGGGTTTATACATGAGATTGAGGTTATTTATACTCTTGTATAGGGGTGTCTCTTCCTTAGTGTGGTATTTTCCTTCTGTGTTTCTTTTGAAGCCTCCTTGGGCCTTGCTGTCTTCTTTGAATCTTCTTTCAATATAAGAGGAGAATGCTTTTGTACTGGTTTTCTTGGAAGTTTTTCATCGTTTGACTTTCTGCTGCTTTTACTTGCAGATAGAAACTCCTCTTTTTCCTGCAAAAAAACCATTGAACTCAGCGTATTAATTACATTCTTCTTCATGATCCAGCTTATTAACCTTATCTTTTTGAAGTGCTGCGAGGTAGGATTTATCTTGTTCCTCTCGCAGTTCGCGATTTGCTCTGATCATTTCTTCTTCTTCTACTATTGAGAGTCTGAAAGCTGCGCCTTGCTCTTCTAGTGTCCTCTGTAAGATTTCAACAAGTGCCTCAGGAGAAACTGTGCCTTCCACCTGAAAATAACATTATTTTCATGTTTAATCCTGTAAGGTATTGAATTTGCATGAAAAAAATTTCAGTTTTGTTCTAGAAATTCATGGAAACTTGCTCTGCAGCTTGTTTCGAATTTTATGATGAGCATTTGCATTGATCCCTCATCAAGATGTCACCTTGTGTGATATACTGATTCACTTCGTTGTGTTGTGCATTCAAAAAACAGTAATCCCAATTGGATCGTGGGTACAAATCTTGATACAGATCTTAGTGCTTAAAAAAATTGTCATTTTACCTGCTGCAGAACCACAATGGCTTTTTCTACAGGTAGAGCAAGAACAGCACAGAAAGGGAAGCTCGATACACGTAGCATCCTTGTCAGGTCCAGCCCCTCTCCTCGACTCGCAACTGCTCCCCATGAAACAAAATTCGCATCAAGAAACTGCGCTGCTAATTCCGAGCACAGAGTTTCGCGGCAGAACAAAGACGTTAATGGATGATCAGGAGCGTGAAGATACACGAAAACAAACTTCGACTCTTTTTTAGCTATCTTCAGAACCTCCATTAATCGTTTTGGGTAAAAGAACGGGTGTGATTCACCATATTTCTGTTCGAAGACATTCAGAAAGTACCACTCTTCAGGAATGATGTCTATATTTTCTTGAGGATCTAGATATGAAGGATTGCTTCTTGCGGTGGTTTCTCCACCGATAAATCTTGAGATTTCTTCTAGTATGTTGTAAGGGAGTCTCATGATTCTACTAACCATATTGTTGCAGGAAGTTCTTAGCCCTTCTATAAGATTACGACAGGTTTGGTTGGAGGCCATTTGGAGGTTTGATACAGAAGGAGGAGCAGCTTTAAATTTTCAAACATGTTTCTTTCAGTGTTTGTAGATTGAGTCTGCGAGTTTATGTAAAAGGCAAGGAATTCCTTACCTTCTCCAAAGATGAGAACAAGGCATCCTGTTAGATTACTTCATTCCTTCGCTTTGGAATATAAAGAAAAGAAAAAATTATATCTCATCCTCACTCTCGAGGAAAATATTAGGTCGTGCTGCCAACCAATCATAGGAGAGAGAGAGAAAGAGGAGGGACACTCTCTCTCCTTTGATTATCTGGCCGCAGCCTATTTTTTCCTCCTTTCAGGGTCGCCTCAAAGAAGATTTACATAAAGTCCTTGGGCCAAACTACTATTGCTTAGATTACTTTGGCTTAACTTTAGTCATCTTTTTGAAACCTTATCAATTGAAAACTTATCAGTTGAGTTAGGCTTAACGTTTGATATAAATGCTAAATGGTCTTTTTGCTCCCTAGTATTTGCTCTACTCTTAATTGCTAAAGAAGGATTACTTATATTTGATTCCTTAGAATGAATCTTAGAAAACACTTAAGGATGCATCTTTTTGTTCCTTGAAATTATATCATTTTGTTCTTCTTATACCATCATCTTTCATATCGTGTCTATTAGATAATTTAAATTCTTATGGAAGATGACAAGAATTTATTATTTTATTAATTTAGTATTTGAATTGGCAAAAATTTTCTTATCATTAGACTTGCTATAAAAAAAATTAATATTTTCTTTATTAAAAAGAATATAATATGTATATATAAATACTTATAAATGATCAGCCTTGGATGTATTTTTTTAAGAAGTTTATAAGATGTCAATTTTTAGGATTTGTCTAAAATTACTTAATGATTATATAAATTAAAAAGATTTTTTGTTTTGACCAAATTATATTTTGCTAACCTATATTCATCATAAATAAATAAATTGATTCTATGAATATACAAATTTACTTTTATATAACTCAATTTTATTAAGGAATCATATATATTTAAAACATGCCTTTGATTGCATTTTTATCAAAACTTTTTAACTAATTTGTTTCAGAACACTTAATCATGAAATGTGTTAATCATAAAAGTTAAATGTTTTTATACTCTCTAAATCAATCCATATACTCTTAGATTCTCAAAATACACCATACTTATCTGTGTGGAAAATCTCCAAATTATAATCTAAATAATCATATATAATCATAAATTTATATGATTTACCCTTTTAATCCACAGTTGCTAGTTCATCCAAAGAAACTTATCTGTAGTAGCCCGTGTCAAATCTAGTTTGGGAGTTGGGTTCAAATATGACCCAAAATGGGACCAACTCAAAACAATTTGACATAAACACAACTTGAATATTCAACTAGGCAGAAATTCCAACCTGAACTCAACCTGTATAACTCCTACATAAGGTACACAAATTTTTGAGTCAAAATTAAGTCCATTTCAAGTCAATCTCAGATCAATTTTGGGCTGACATATCAATTTTGAGTCAATTTCAGGAATTTCAGATTTATGGATCAACTTGAATTCGACCAAAAAATTATACGGGTTAGGATTTCTAACTCGATCGAGGCCCGAAAATTATTCGAGTCAACCTAAAATGAATATCTTCAGTCAGTTTTCGGTCTAGTTGGCATGTCCGATCGATTTTTTACACCTCTAATTTGAAGTGACTATAGTTGTCTATTAGCGGTCAAACCAATAATCAAGTTTTAAATTTTTAACTATTATAATTTAATCTTACAATTTTTATTAAAAATACATCAGGTATAGCCCTCTATACCATTACTACATACCATATGTGCTGAATTTTAAATAAACCAATTTTATACAATTCACATTTCTAATATCAATCAAATAAATATCTATTTTCTATTAAAGTTTTGCTAACAATACAGTATGATAAATGTAATATGACTTATAGCACATGATCTTATAATTGGCTAAAAGAAATTTAATTATATTTTAAGCCTCTAATTAATATAAGCTTATTGATGGTTAAGGTGTTCTTTCCCATTGATCCAATCCCCATAATATTTTCTTTCGAATTATCATAAAATAAACATACTACGTCTCAGTATAGATGGGCTAATCATCACATGCCACCATTTATGCATAAATGAAGGCATTTCTACAAAAGCAAATCATCGAGTTAATTTACAAATAAATTTTATTTAGATTTACCTTCAATTAATATGCTTTTACCTTATATATATTATAATTGTAGGATTGACATTTTTTTAGTAACTACACATAATTTAAATATGCATAAAATTATGCACATCTTGCATAACACTTTATGAAAAAGTGCTCTTATTTATCACAAAATTTATACTAAATATTGCTTTTTTTGTGTAACACATTATATTATAATTATGGTGTATATGATGAGCATAACAATATTACTAGTTTCTATCATTAAAATTTTCATAAGAAGCGCTAATACTTAAATTTTCACTAAAATAAAATTTGAAAAAAAAAAGATAGTATGCCCTTCAACAAATAACTCTCCTTGTAAGAAATGATTATAGATTAAAATTATTTTCAATTTTAATCCATCATTCTCATTTTTAAACCATTATTATGAATATTTAGATTCACATGTTCTTTAAATATTCAACTTATAGAGCTATTGTTTTGACTTTTTTATGTTCATTTTACTCTAGAGTTTATTATTATTTTCTCTTGATATTGTTGCTGGATCATGTGCTAAAAGAATCAAGCAATTAAGCAAATGAACCAGTGAAAAATATTTTGATTTTACAATTGTAGTACTTTTATATCCCAATTTTTAAACAAACAACAATTTTTCTTAGAACAAATGAATTTTCTTTAATATTCTTTCTACTAGATAAGTGAATAGAATTTATATATTTCACCAATCTTATATACAGTATTATTAACAAAGACATCAAATTTTACATAATATAATTAAAAAATATGAACTTCTTTATTAATAATTGTATTTATAATTTTCTTAAATCATTTATAAGTTATTATAACCTTTCACAAATGACTTCGGAAGTCCCAACATCAGGGCTCTTATGTAACTATTAGGTTTTATAGCATAGTACAAATCTCTTATAGCCTTTGAGAGTTTAATCTATTAAATTCAATTTCAGCAAAGCGTTCATTCTAAAAAAGAATTCCCAAATATTACTCTATCAACTATCTTATTGGAAGAAATGTATTCTAAAGTTAATATATTTTATCAAAGAGGATCTTATGCTCATAAAAGTTGTCTCATGTAATTTTTTTCAATGATTAAATAAGATATTTTCTAAAAGTAAGATATTTAAGGTGGGGTGATCTTTGATGTTGCTAAAGGGATATTAGGCGCTACAATGAATGGATCTACTTTTGATGGCTAAACCAGAAAAAGGAATTTAGACTAACATTAGGTGAAGTTTATAACATAACTAAGATGAAAATGAATTAGTGCTTTCCAAATATTTGTAGGCTTATTAGAATTTAAATAAAACTAAAATGTTGATTTATAATAGAGTAAGTAGATTTAAAAAAAAATAAAAGTAAAAAACTAATTAGCTAAATAAAATATAAAAATTCTTATGATGTTTAACATATGTCATTATCTAAACCGTTTGTTTCTAGGATTTCACTGTTTTAATATTAGTATTGCAAGATCCCATCTTTTTTGGGATGAGAAAAGCTCTTTTGACATATGATTTTCTTTTGTGGATAAGAGTAACTCAAAAACTAAATTTACAAAAATAATACTTCTTGCTTATAAAGTTTTTCATCAGTTATCATAAGAAAATTTAAATCAAAATGAAAATTATGATTATAGCACACAATTTTTTAAAATTTAGGATTATTTATTTTAATTAATATGATTAAGTATTATTAGATTATTATGGTAAATTTAATGCTATATAGGAAGCATCTAAGGTTTTGTAAACTTATCAAGGTATAAAATAATTTTTTTAAAAATTATATTTATATATAAGTTTAGTTCACTGCTCCGTATTACTTGATTAATAAATTAAACAACTCATAAATTCATATAAAATAAATCAAGATAATTTAATAGGATTTTAAAATCATGTCAACTTAGTAATGAATATATATGCATAAGTATAAATTTGCATGCTTGAGAAATCATGGTGATTAAGTTACATTAACGTCTTAGAATTGTGCAAGAAATTAATACACAAAAAAAAGTAAAAGAAGAGTTTATAGAATGGACACAAGAATTTTTTATGTGAAAACACAAAATGGAAATAACCACGAGGTTTAACCCAGTGAAATATTTCCACTATTTAGATATATGTTACAAGGTTTTATCTATTCTTACAAAATAGATAAAATATATATATAGTACAATAAAAGAATTAAATTGAATTTTTGTAATGAGAGATAAAATATTGGGAAGTGATAGAAATGGAGTTATAATGTTATAAGTCTGATGAAGTTGTGTGATAGTGCTTTGTATTCATTGTCACGGATGGGAGTGAACTCTAGAAAATATTAATCCATCAACAGTAGAAGTGATAGCCAGGAAACAGTGATCTAATGAAACAATTCCATAATAGAGGTTTAACAATAATAATGACTGTAGCCAAGAAAACGTGGTCTGACAACAACTATTACAATGACCAAGAATTGATGGCAGTAGAAAAAAACATTACCCACGTGAGTTTAGTCTAGTGCTTTATTGGCGAGAGTGGTCTAAGGATGTTGAGAGCCTAACTATAATGACCCAGAAAAAGCAAAAGTGGTCTGGTGATAAAAGTGGTCGATGCAGCATCAATAGGCCAATGATGATCTATTTATAGTGGTTGTGGTCCGGTGAAATAAATTGAACAAAAATGGTCTAACAATATCAATAACCAGGAGATGTTGGTCTGATAATAATGACAACAGCAGTGGAAACACGGTTTGCTAGGCAATAATAGTTTGAAAATTATGGTGGAGGTTTGAAATATAATGGTTTCATAACAATGATTGCAAGGAGATAATGATAATAGTAGCACTACTGTGGCAATGGTGGTGGATCTATGATGGTGATATGACAATGATGCTAGCGGTTTGATAAAAATAATGGTGCTCCATTAACTAAGACAGCATGTGCTAGGCAGTGGTAGTCTAGAAGAAGAAATTGTGATTGTGGGATGATATGTGTGAAATGTGATTTTGTGCTATAGAAATTTCTTATACATTTTATTCTTGGATATATTTTATGTATATGAGCAACATATAAGAAAAAGGCTAGATTGTGGATAAAAATTAGTAAA